TATTTAAACACGAATTGGACATCGTTAAAACTGGTTTTCAAGCAATTTTTACATATACCGGTATGAAAAAATACCATATACCACCAAGTCTCAATAAAGTACTTAATGGTTTTATCGTTGTAACAAATGTCCAATTCGTATTTAAATAAATATTAAAATAGTTTTGATATAGTGTTTACAGACGCGTATCACGTTAGGGGCAGGATCTGACCCGCCAGCATCTGTGCTTGAGAATGTCTTATAATGTGCTGCAGCTATATATCTGTTTGTGCAGCTTAAGTCAGAGATTGATGGCATAATAAACACTTGATTAGTCATATATAAGTGAAAATTATTGGGTAAAGATTGAAAATAAAAGAACTTGAAAACAAAACTATTTCTCATTTTATGGCATATAAAATGTCGTTATTCTCAGTTATTCTCATTTGTCACAGAGGGCCTCATTTTAGTGGTACGAACACATAGTATCACGAATGATACATTTGGTGCATGCTTAACACGGGTGATTGTCTTTGCACTTAAGCAATAGGCTTCGTTTTTAGCTCTGTAAGATTTTAGATCACTTATGTCTGTGTGTGCATCAACATTTTGCTTTGGTTCAATGTTTTTGAAATGTGGTCACACTTTTCCATTTCTTCGTGTTGTACATTTTACATTCTATCAGGTGACCATGACCATGATCATGACCTAGAGTATAATGAACAAAGCCTCTTTGAATATTGTGTATGCATGCTGCCTAAGTAATGCTTATGTGAAGTTACAGTTAGATATAAGCAATAGTAACAGAGATATGACAGAAAAACAAAGGCTTCTCAGTACAATACATTGGTGACCTTGACATTCAGTATATAACGGGCACAGCTTCTTCATGTACTTTGTATGCATGCTTGTAACGCAAAGTTTATGCGAAGTTGCAGTAAGATGCATGAATCAGCAAAAGTAACAGAGATATGACAGAAAAACAAGTTACCAAGAAAACCAATGCATTGGTGGGTAGAATAGCATCCCTATTCTCTGAATAGTGGAGCTAAAACTGAAACTCAAGATAATTAAAAAAAACAACTACTTTCTGAAACTAAATTTATTTTTTTCGAAATTGATTAAAATGTATCCATCTGTCTTTCTACCTATATTCTAGGTAATGATGGATTGATCATAATTGTCACAAGTTATAATCAACAAAACTTTATAAACATAATAGCATGATGTAGGTTCATGAGCTTGAAATAAAGTCTACAAAGACTTGTTATTTTATATCAAACAAGAACTTCGCGAGTCGGACGTGTCGCCTGACAATAGCATAAAAATTTATGTATATAAGCAAATAAGCAATTAGTAAATAAGCAAATTGGCAAATCAGCAAATAAGCAAATCAGCAATTTTTCCTAAAAAGCAATTTTGACAAAAAGTTAAATGGGGGCATAACTCCGAATATATAACTTTCAGAATTATGCCCCTTGTTTTACAACCGCATCTTGTAATAATAATCAGGTATTCCATGTTTCGTGGTGAAAACGTGTTTGAATCATTGCTACGTTTAAGTTTTTGCACGACCACGACGATGCAGCGATCATAATAGCTTCGACTTTTTTTCCGAAACAGACGAGCTAGAAATAAACAAAATGTGACATGACTGATGCCCGTCTTTTCCAATTTTACCGTAAAAAACAACTTGCAATTTGAAATAAGGTGGTTAAAAACTCAAAGAAAACATGTACTTGAAGTGTGTATAAATAGTTATAAAGCTATAGTTAATTGACTTTTTATCACAAAGTGGCTAATGTAATTAAAAAAAAAACGTTTCCTAAATGGGAACCTCATGCTTGATTCAATCAATTTTCATGTTAAATTACATTGGCAGTGCCCTGTCCTGTTTGGTGTCCTGTTAGGGTCCTTGCCGGTGGTTCTGTGCTGGGGATGCGTTCATTGAATGCTGTCCTTCCTTGTTGACCTTGTTGTACTTATTTATGTAATGGTAGGACAATGTAAATCAGTTGAAATGTTTAATGTGTAATACTTATCTATGCCTTTTACGTCTCCCAACAGAACTGAAGATGGGCCTTCGTTGTGCAATGTTTAAATGTGTTGTACATTCAAATCCCGTCAGGGACTTTTGATTCTTTCATGTAAAGAAGCTATCTGGCCTAGCGTACGGAAGGTCGGTGGTTCTACTCAGGTGCCCGTTTGTGCCTGAAAAAATGCACGGGGCACCTGAGGTCTTCCTCCACCACTAAAGTTATAAAGTTGCCATGTTTCCTGGTTGCAAACCCATTATGTTGGTTTTGTCGTGACGCGGCTCGAATGGATACAAGTAAACAAACAATAAATATTATAGACATTGATGAGACGTTTTATTAACTAGTTAAATATCATGCCAATATGGCATTAATATACAAATGTATGAAACAATGACATCTGTTTGGATCGTGATACAAACAAAAATAAACAGTGAACACAGACAAAAAAAAATAAACACGTTTATCAGGACACTTCTTTGTAAAACTGTCCATCTATGTAACGTAAATAATGCACCTTAATTACACATTTTGTTCACTGTTTAGTATATACTGACAGTAAAAAACAGTGAACACGGTAAAAAATAAAACTGTGCACATGTAACTTGTCGTCCAAAGTAACGTAAATAATGCACCTTTATTACACAACTGTTCACTGTTCAGTATCAATGGACAGTCAAAAAACAGTGAACAAGGTAAAAATAAAACTGTGCATATGTATTTTGTCATCCAGTATAATGTAATCGATATGCACCGTATACCTGGTTCACTGTTTTGTGTACATGTATATATATTGACAGTAAAAAAGTAAACAGTGACACAAAAAAAACACTTTTCTAACAGAAACAGTGACATATTGCAATATATTTTTCTATTTTTTCGTACAAAGTTGAAGTCAATGCAATGTAACAATACAATAATACCAGGTAAGTTTCAATTTGAAATATTGTGATTTAAAAAAAATTTGAATTAAATTGTTTAAAAACCTGTATATATATACATGTATATTCAAGTGCTTTTATAGGAAAAAAATACAAATTTGCACTAAATCTTCTTAAAGCTACATGCCTACAGATGAGTCAAATATTTCAATAAAATCAAACTTGAGAAAAATGTACTAAGATGTAAGGAAAAGTAAAAATGTTTCAAGATTCAAGTAATATTTTACATATTATGTGCGCTTAATGACTGATTTTTCAGTATTTTCAATTATATTTCTACCGTGTTACTAACGCAGTAAAGGCTATTTATGCATATTTTGACCACTATTGGTAATTTACGTGGTTTGTAAGAGCCATTGATAATGTGTAAATTGCTTAATGTTGGTTAATTCACAATATTACACACTTAAAAACATTTTAAAAAATTTTGATGAAAATTAGCATTAATCTGGAGGCATGCTGCTTTAAATCTTCTTTTATGTTTTTTAAGTATTTTTGTAAGTGTTAACTCTGCAGATACATGTATCAAGTAAAAGTAGACAGATAGAGTGAATATTTATCTCATCCCCCCTCCACAAAGAATATGCTTGATATCTACATTTATCTATTATATCCAAACTTTGAAGTTCAAGCCAAATATTATCAATTAAAAAAATCACAAAATACAGGAATTTGAACTTCATACATGTACATGTATGCATACAGTAACTTGCAAAATGTGTTTATATCTAAAGATAGTAACTAATATTGTTAGGAAGTTGAACTCTTGATCGAAGGTTTCATTGCATTATTTGGCAACTGAAAAAAACTTACATGTATGCCTCAAAATAAATACATTTTTACTTCTTAAGAGAGGGCAAACATTTATATAGTTAAGCAATGTTCCCATAATGATTTTAGAGCATGTAAGATGATTGTTACCTGAAGAAAGTAGCGCTTCATGTGAAATGATTTGTCCTAAAAGTGACTTCCATACAAAATACCAAACCACTATAGATCTAACTGTTCTGCCAAAACGTCAGAAGAAATAAAAATAACAGCATTTCTGGGACATAATGGGCTTTTTACATAGCCGTTGATTGCCTGCGTCTTTTTCCAGCGCATCTTTGAAAACAGTTTAAAAGTGCTGGGTTTTCTTTTGGACTTGTTGACCATAACAATTTTCGTTGTTTTAAAATCGTTATACAAGTACTTGCGGGATCTACGGGAGAATATATCATTCATAAATAAACATATACTCATGTAGCTATAGCGCCACGGGTCAAAGTGATATTCTCAGTACAGTTCGACAGCAACTTGTATAAATAATATTACGTATGTCACGGGCTGGATTCTGTTAGCATATATAAATTCAGGTCAGACTTTTGTATTGTAACATGGCCAGCAATTGGCAAAAAAGTGCAGGGAAAACCGTAAGATACAATGGGATATGAGTGGATTGGATGAAAATAGGATGTTTTTAAGTATGAAAACTAATTAAGAAACTAACACTATATTGTTTTCTTAAGAGGTCTCTATGATAATTTGTGATTTGGATATTTACATTGATGAAAAGTGTATGTCTGTCCTGTGAAAAGCAGAAAATTGCATTGAAAAGGGGGATTATTCTCTTTGTTGCTAGAATATATATAATAAACAAGGAAAGGCGGCGTTCAATGAACCTTGGTTGGCTATTCCTATATAACAAGATCATTTTATGTGCCAGGCATTTCATTTTCCTAGAACAATTACCTCTTTAGCATGAACCCTTATTTTAAGGTATGATTATGGACCATTTCTAATAATGTAAGGCTATGGAAAAAAGAAATAGGTGAGTCTGACCTAAATTCACATGCGATTGACCTTACAGCAGTACATAAAAAGTTAGAATAAAAGTACCAAGACAAGACACTTTTTTTTCGCGACTTTTCGTCAGGCTGTAACTCAGGATTATTGGCGTAAGTTCAGAGCTGCCATTTATTTTAGTGTTCTTACAAGCTCTACCAGTTAGTCTCTTTGGCGTAGATCTGCTGCAGAATCAAAGTCACCTTCAAAATAAATACCCTTGAGAATTATAGTATTTATTACTGACTTTAATACGTCAACAATTTTACATGTAAAACAATATGACATTATATATTTCCAATTAACAAATTCGTCGGCATTCATCAAAATAAATGGCAAATATTGAACTTTGGTCGGCGAAGCTGAGTTAAGGCTATTTCTGTTTGTTCCTAGAGGCCTGACCAAGCACACAAGTATTTATTTACCAGTCAATGACAACCTACATCCCTGCCATAATAGATTCCTTGATTTTCAAAGCCCTGCTCTGCGGAAACAGTCAGATGGTTATTATTCAGATCAGATACACTTGGTTTTTGGCACCAATATATATTAAACAGTGCATTAACCCGGCAATGCGAGGGATAAACTCGTCGTCACCATGCCGGGGTGGGGTTGGAGCGGACAACAATTAACTGAACATTGCATTATCCACTTTCACTTGATTCGATTGTTTCTTTTTGTAAAGGGTGTTAATACGTGAAAAAAATGTATAAAAAAGCACAGTAGTTCCGCACAGTGGAGTCACGAAATAAACAAAATTACAAATAAAAGTTTCTTTTCAATTACATTGTAATTTCAAATGCAAACGACGAAAATATATTACCTGGCCTTAGTTCTTTTTTTCTTTGTTTTATTGTGTATTTGAAATATCTTTTACGTATATCATTTGAAATAACTTTTTACAATATAAAGTGTACATTTTCAGATTATCAATCTATTCCATTTTCTAGTCATTTCCATGCATCACCATTTTATTACAAAGTTGAACCAGTTTTTCTATCTGTCAAACAGAATATCGTCATTATCTTCATCAAAATCGTCTTCCGTGTCTTCAAACTGCTGGGATGTTTCACAAGGAACAGGATCTGTTTTACGTCTAGTGAAGAAGTCTACCACAACCTTGTTACTACTGATCTGTAAATACAATACACAACTCAAACATTATTTATATATTTTATATCTTTTTTCGTTCTAAAACGCTTTAACTTGATACAGTTATATGATTCATCATTGGGTACATACATGTACATGTTTCCGAGTTCAATAATTATGGTAAGTCTTATTAATTGTGGCAAAAAGTTTTCTTTACTGATTTGCCAATTAACTTCAATTTATTTACACCATGTTGATAAAATTCAGCTAAATAAATGTAGATGAGATGAATATCGAGTTATTTAGCATCACTACGGTGGCTGACTTGTGCCATGTCTTATTTTTTTCTGCGGGGCACCACTCCGCACCAGACGAACACATGAAAATACGACAAAGGCACCGCTCCATCGTGCTTTCACCGAAAACACAATAATACGACATAGTCACCACTTAGTCATTTTATTGTGTTTTCGCCTGGAGCCTTGCGGAACGAAAATATACGACATGGCACAAATCAGCCACCATAGGTCACAGTTCAATGTATCAAATATAATAACAGGAGAGGTCCCCTTGCAAGACTATGAATAATTATAAAATGGTAAAACAATGCACAGATAATAAAAGTTGTAACATCTCTCACGCAATTTTTGCAAATGATCTACTTGTTTTAATTTACATACCAAAGGATTGCTTTCTAGAAGCTGTTTGAAGAAGCTTTGAAGTTCAATCTCTCTATGCTCAGCTAGCCCTACACTGTTCTTTTGAAGAAAACTTTTACCTACACAATACAATACAATATGTTTTATTATTTAATCGGAAATCAGTGGCAGATCCAGTGGCTTAACCAATACAGAATGTACATAAATATGAAAATGTGTTTGTACTTTATATAGTTCGCCTACTTAGCTCAAATAGGAAACAAAAGTGTCAGTTATATTCTAATAGTCCAAAAACTTTTCAGATATAAGAGAAAAGGTTACTATTTTTCTAAATATGCTTCCTTATATAAACAGATTATTTCCCTGCATGAAGAATGTTTATGTCATATCGACATTCTACAACATCCATACACGTGAGAATTCGCGACTTTCCGGAAAAAAAAAACTTTTAAAATATTTGTTATTATTTACTTCAGATCTTGAAAATATGACGCATGTCATGATAAAGAACTTAACGCTAATCATAGGGAAGAAGATGCGTAAGCAGCCGGAAAGTCCAATCGGTACCACCGCGGAACGGTATTACGAGGGTTAGAGGTTCCGGTTTGGTACAACCGCGGAACAGTATTCCGAGTGTTCCTAGTCCCGATCAGGCTGCACATATTACTTACACTGTATGAAGCTCCGAGTCAATTAAATGTCTAGAGCTGTTCTCATTGGAACATTTATCACGGGGAAGATGTCATGATATAATATAACCGTTTATAATTATAACCGTTTACTTATTAGGGGAAATTAGAAAATGCGTAAGTGACTGAATAGAATAGTTCAGTCAGTATGGATGTGTACAGAACTCCCGAATTCGAGTCTCAGTCACACTGCACATTTGTCATAGCCTGTGTCACGTAAAATCAACCAAAAGTTTAAACATTTGCATTTATTTTGGATATTGAAAGAAGAAATGTATACCTTCTAATTTCGGGATAAATGCGGGTGTTTTAATGAGTCCTTTTTCGTATTTGTTACTAAAATGGTCTTTAAGATCGCCGTATAAGTTCATGACATCACCGTAACTTCTTTTAATGTATGTTGTTTGTTTGTTAGTCCAGTAAACTTCAATGACAAAAACATAGTCTGAAAACCAGTATTTGGCTTTTTTCTCAGCGAATCCTGACACCGTGGCATAAACGACCGAGGCATTTGTGCTCGAGACAGCTTCGTACTTTTTGTCATTTGATATGAACGACATTATTGTTGTTTTTTTTCTATGTAATCCTCGTTATAAATACAAAATGCATTGAAAATATCAATGAATAAGTTCCGTTTGTTTTTCTATCTTTTCAAGATTTTTGAAAATCCACATTTTCACATTCAATTGCAATTTATAACGTTGAACTAAATAGTTAAAAGTTATTAGCTGGTAGTGAGCATCATTTGACACGATAACGTTAGTAGTTTAAACATATTGTTGTTAAATGTAAATGATAATCTAATCTTGAACATATTTTCAGATAACGGGTAATCATGAATCAACTCATACAATTATATCATGACTTAGGATATAACTACATACTTTTTAAACGATAATTTTATCGTATCTAACTGATAATTTCATCGTTTCTAAAGGATAACTTCATCGTTTCTACAGGAAAAGCTTCATCGTATCTAAAGAATAGCTTCATTGTATCTAAAGGATAACTTCATTGTATATAAAGGATAACTTCATCGTGTCTAAAGGATAACCTCATCGTATCTAAAGGATAATTTCATCGTTTCTAAAGGATAACTTCATTGTATTCTAAGGTTAACTTCATCGGATCTAAAGGATGACTGCATCGTATCTAAAGGATAACTTCATCGTATCTAAAGGATAACCTAATCGTATCTAAAGAATAACTTCATCGTATCTAAAGGATAATGTCATCGTTTCTAAATGATAACTTCATCGTTTCTAAATGATAACTTCATCGTATATAAAGGATAGCTTCGTTGTATCTAAAGGATAATTTCATCGTTTATAAAGGATAACTTCATTGTATTCTAAGGATAGCTTCATCGTATTTAAAGGATAAATTCATCGTATCTAAAGGATAACTTCAATGTATCTAAAGGATAACTTCATCGTATTTGAAGGATAACTTCATCGTATCTAAAGGATAACTTCGTTGTATCTTAAGGATAACTTCATCGTATTTAAAGGATAACTTCATCGTATCTAAATGATAGCTTCGTTGTATCTTAAGGATAACTTCATCGTATTTAAAGGATAACTTCATCGTATCTAAAGGATAACTTCATTGTATCGAAAGGATAACTTCTTTGCATTAAAGGACAACTTCATCGTATCTAAAGGATAACTTCATTGTATCAAAAGGATAACTTCATCGTATTTGAAGGATAACTTCATCGTATTTAAAGGATAACTTCATCGTATCTAAATGATAACTTCATTGTACCAAAAGGATAACTTCTTTGCATTAAAGGACAACTTCATCGTATCTTAAGAATAACTTCATTGTATCAAAAGGATAACTTCATCGTATTTGAAGGATAACTTCATCGTATATAAAGGATAACTTCATCGTATTTAAAGGATAACTTCATCGTATCTAAAGGATAACCTCATCGTATCTAAAGGATAATTTCATCGTTTCTAAAGGATAACTTCATTGTATTCTAAGGTTAACTTCATCGTATCTAAAGGATGACTGCATCGTATTTAAAGGATAACTTCATCGTATCTAAAGGATAACCTCATCGTATCTAAAGAATAACTTCATCGTATCTAAAGGATAATGTCATCGTTTCTAAAGGATAACTTCAGCGTTTCTGAATGATAACTTCATCGTATATAAAGGATAGCTTCGTTGTATCTAAAGGATAATTTCATCGTTTCTAAAGGATAACTTCATTGTATTCTAAGGATAACTTCATCGTATCTAAAGGATAACTTAATTGTATCTTAAGGATAACTTCATCGTATATAAAGGATAACTTCATCGTATTTAAAGGATAACTTCATCGTATCTAAAGGATATTTTCATTGTATCAAAAGGATAACTTCTTTGCATTAAAGGACAACTTCATCGTATCTAAAGGATAACTTCATTGTATCAAAAGGATAACTTAATTATATCAAAAGGACAACTTCATCGTATATAAAGGATAACTTCATCGTATCTAAAGGATAACTTTATTGTACCAAAGGATAACTTCTTTGCATTAAAGGACAACTTCATCGTGTATATAAAGGAAAACTTCATCGTTTTTAAAGGATAACTTAATTGTATCAAAAGGAAAACTTCATTGTATTTAAAAGGATAACTTCATCGTATCTAAAGGATAACCTCATCGTATCTAAAGGATGACTTCGTCGTATTTAAAGGATAACTTCATTGTATCAAAAGGAAAACTTCATTGAATTTAAAGGACATCTTCATCGTATATTAAGGAAAACTTCATGTCTAAAGGATAACTTCATCGTTTTTAAAGGATAACTTCGTCGTATCTAAGGCCGTCAGGTAAACGGGGCAAAACAAACTTGCCTATTAAAAAATTCAGTCTATTAATTATTTCCAGTGTGTTTCAATTTCTTCAAACATTTTTTTTTTCTAGAATAAAAGTAACAATATCTTTTACTTCCATGAACAGTGACATTTTGATACTTCGTCTAATGCATACCTGAAAAGGACGGTTTGATTGCATGACTAAAAAGAATTATCTGAACTTTATTTTGATTAAGCACACATGTTGCCGGTATAGGAAAAAAATGTTTTCAATATCATTTTTTTTCCAGAAAACAAATTCGTATTATGTTAGAGTAAACAAGGAAGATGGTAACAATGTGATGCCAGCGTGTTATATAATATGACAGTGACAAAATGTTGAACAAAATGATCTAAAGCAACAGAGCAAGATAAATTTTATTATTTATTTTTTCAGGTATAAAAGTGACATTTGCAAATTTTTTTTTTTTTTTTTTTTTTTTTTTTTGATACTTTTTTTGGTTTTTCGTACATTTTTTGTTTGTTTTTTGTTTTGTTTTGTATACATATTTTATTTTAGTTTTGCATACATATTTTACTTAAGTTTTGAATACATATTTTTTGTTTTGTTTTGCATACATATTTTTTTTTTTTGCATACATATTTTTTTTAGTTTTGCATACATATTTTATTTTAGTTTTGCATACATATTTTATTTTAGTTTTTCGTACATTTTTTACATGACGCCATTTGCAAAGTAGAGCTTTGGATAGTTAGGCCATTTGTAAAACACGATTTTCAAACACTTCGCCATCTGTAAATTACAGTACACCATTTGCAAACGCCATTTGCATATACCAAAATTTTCATTTTTGGAGGCATCAAAAAGAAATAACAAACAGTTTTTAGTATATATATATACATAAATATATATATATAGTCCGCGGTGACGCAAAGAAAGGTTCTGCATATGGTCTCGATGTGGTTAACGTTTGACTCAAGGTGCATGAAAATCCTTCATGGGGTTTAGGAGATAAGGAGCGGGCATGAAACCCAAGTCACAATTCTTTGACCTGTATGTGTGACCCCGACCTTAAGCCGGCACACCTGGCATATAAGTTCTGCACATTATCTGGATGTGCTAAACAATTGATCCAAGTTTCATAAAAATCCTTCAAAGCTTTAAGCATTTTTTCTAAACCAGTGGAATTATAAGAACCTATTTAGATCTTTTATTGTGCATTATTGTAAAATACCAGTCATTTTTAACCACTCCCTCGCCCCGGAGAGTGCGGGTTAAAAAAAGAATCGTTTTGCGCTGTTCCGGGGCATAAGGCAGGGATGTTATTATCGGAGTATTCCCCGCAGGGCGAATATTGTAGCAGAGGTCGGCTTGGTTTAAAGTCAATGCCCCCCGCCCCCGTTTTTCTCAGGGTGTGGGGTTGAGTGGTGCATATTCATGGAATAATAACTGATCACCAATCAACAACCCTTTCCAAATAGACACTAATATAATAGTATATAATAATAAAAAAACAATAACTATGTAAAATACATTATCATAATTTAAAAAGCGGGCAGAAAAGGGTCGGCCTTTCTTCCGTAACCAGACTTGCCCGGCCGAAAACGACTAGGCCGATTCCAAAAATGGGCTACTATTGTAACCGTGTTTTATTCTCAACTATGGGCTGTTATGAGATGTGAGGGCTGTTTTGATTGGCTAAAATATGTACGAAAAACAAAAATAAAATATGTATGGAAAACAAAAATAAAATATGTATGCAAAACTAAAAAAAAATATGTATGCAAAAACAAACACAACCCAAAGAAATTATGGACTGGTCTAAATGAATTATCTGGTTACAAATCCAAGGTTCAAACACATTTTATTGATGATGATGATGGCAACCCGGTTTCTGACCCCTTAATCACTGCAAATTTATTCAACAGACAATTTGCAAATCTCCACCAATCCCATCATGCCATTAATCAGACTGGTTATGAAAATCCTGAGCTTGTTGAAGTAAATGCATCTAAACTTCAGCATATACCCCCTTTCAAAATACCTAAAATAGAGCTCTCTTATGTGTTGAACCAATTAAAATCGATTGATATTACAAAGTCATGTGGGTCAGATGGTCTCAGTGCAAGGTTTCTAAAGTTATCGGCTCATATTATTGCTCCCATACTTACCACTATATTCAATAACAGTATTCTAAACAAAACATTTCCTAAATCATTCAAAAATGCAAAAGTCATTCCTATACATAAAAAGGGTTCTAAAAGTGATAAAAGAAACTATAGGCCAATTTCCATACTTCCCTTGATATCACTTATTCTTGAACGTCATGTCAGTTCACATTTAAAGCAATACCTTGAGAAAAATCAACTTCTTTACCAACGTCAGTCTGGATTCAGGTCAAATCATTCATGTCAAACAGCATTGATTAGAATTATTGATGACTGGATTACAGCTATTGACAAAAATGAAATAGTTGGTTCAATTTTCCTTGATCTCTCTAAAGCTTTTGACTATGTGGATCACTCTATTATTATTGAAAAGCTTAGAATGTATAACCTAGACCCTTCATCAGTTGCTTGGTTTTCCTCCTATTTAGATTGCAGAACCCAACAAACTTACATATCCGGTTTATATTCAGAGTCAAGTTCAGTAACTACTGGAGTTCCTCAGGGCTCAGTGCTAGGTCCTATACTGTTTTTAATCTATATCAATGACCTGCCTTTGTCTATGGAAAAAACAGAAACTGATATTTTTGCTGATGACACTACCCTTTCAACCTCTGATGTATCCCTAAACAGAGTAGTTGAATCTCTTACTCATGATCTTTTAAATGCCAACAAATGGTGTGATTTGAATCGCATGTCTATCAATGTTAACAAAACTAAGGTCATGTATATTTCCTCAAAACACAAGCAAAATTATATCCATGAAAGTAATCCTTGTATTCTATATAAAACAGAGCAAATTTTTTGTAGCTCTGAAGAAAAATTATTGGGTATTACAATTAATAACACCTTGTCTTGGCAAAGCCATATTGATAATGTTCTTAAAAAGTGTAACTCATTGTTACATTTATTATCACGTATTAAATTATTCATATCTATACCTGTACGTAAAATATTTTACAATGCATATATTTTACCACATCTTGATTATTGTTGCATAATTTACGGTAACTGTACGTCTTTTCTAGAAGATAAACTCATTAAGTTCCAAAAGAGAGCTGCAAGACTAATTCTAGACAAAGATTATGACACTCCATCTGCTGAACTTTTTTCTGAACTCCGCTGGATGACCTTTTCACAGAGGGTTGTTTTTCAAAAAGCTACTATGATGTTTAAAATAATGAATAATCAGGCGCCTACCTATTTATTGAATAATTTCATTTTATCGTCAGATGTTCATACTCGCATTTTGCGTTCATCATCTGATTTTCAACTTTATACCCCTAGACCAAATACTGAACAATTTCGTAAGTCTTTTGTTTATTCTGGATCTTGTATTTGGAATGGCCTTCCTGATTATATTAAGTCTGCTACATCTGTTAACCATTTTAAAACCTTATACTTGAGGTATTATCACACATCCATGTATGCAAATTGATAATCTCCTGTATGTTTTTACATTTATGTATTTTAATAGTTTGAATATGTTAAATTTACATTGTTCCTTGTTGAGGGCCTCATGGAAGATTGATATGTTTGTTCAAATGAGTTCTCTCGTTAAATAAAGTCTTTATTATTATTATTATTATTATTATTATAAACTAAAAAAAAATATGTATGCAAAACTAAAAAAATATGAACGAAAAAAAAAAATAAGTATAAAAAACTAAAAAAAATAATTTGCAAATGTCACTTTTATGCCACCGTAGGTATACACATTGATACACTTTAGATTTCACAACATGATACAAACAAACGATGATAAAACATTCACTATTCTGTAGATGCATAGATGCATCTTAAAAATGCATTTTAATCTTCTTAAAATTGAATGTACTCCCAAAGTTCTAAAACAAAATGTTAAAATATCACTGATTACAAGCTTACAACAAACATTACTGTCTTAAGTTACTTTTTTCTATATGTGAGTTACAGGAATTCGTCTTGTATCCAGTCAGGCATAAAATTCTATAAAAAAGTGATGTCTGACTAGAATTCCACTTTATTTATAACCTCCGTGACCTTTCAAAACAGTTGATGTTATTTGCACGATGTGCGCGAAATTTCGTTGTCCCAATGCAAATTGTTATGCGTTCTTTTTCACAGGATCTACGCCGGTTATGACAGAAAGCGCCACTCTTCGGAAGTTTTCACTAACAAACATATAGGCGGCTGCTTGTAATAGACTGGATAGTTTAATAGTTATATGGGAGAATTCCACTCCGAGGAAACTGTCGTAAAATGGCGGGAAACCTCGGAGAAAGTAGATAACCCTCAGATAATATGGAAGGCAACCGATAGCTAGTATAGTGAACAATAAAAAGGTAACCTGAAATAAAGAAACAAAACAATATTATTTACCAGTATGTTTTATAAATATTACATTATATGTAAATATCCTTTATTCGTTAATATGAATGAGCTTATTTCCATTGATATATTGAGATTATCTAGCTAGTGTTTCTGTATAAGTTATGTTTCCATCTTAAAATCTAATAATATACTTGTACATGTTTAAGTTAAATTACATCAAATGATCGAAGGATTGGAAATGTTTTATTAGTTCTGTTTGCATCTTAAAATTTAATATACATGTATAACTTCAATTTCATCTAATGACCAAAGGATTGAACTTGTATTCCAATCATCAGCAGCAGCCATTCCCAAATGGAATTAGATGTTATACAATGTTTAATGATATACTATGTCCATTTTTACTTATATTGTAGAATCTAGTTATGTATTATCTGGATAAGAGAATGCACAAAATATGTAGTGGAAGTTGTAATCCCTTTTACTGATAAATTTGAGTAAGTCTTAAAAACTGTTAGACTTTTTAATGACACCATGTATTCATACAGTGTTAACCTATAGTGTGTAGATATTAAAACGCAACATGCCCTTCTCTCTGTGTACTCAAAAAACATTTATTTTACATTTAAAATGAAGCAGTGTAGTAATAATCATTTTTTAAAAATCAAATTTGTGCATTATTTAATCTGATTAAAATCTGCTCCTAATTAATGCTACTTGCAAGAAATAACTTAAGTAGATCTGAACCATACGTTACTCAGATTGAGCATAATGTATCTTTAATTAAATTTTAGTAATGCCTACCCGTACAAGCTCTGTGTCCGTTAGAAGGGGCTCATATACTTTCGAGTCACCTGGTTTTCTCAACATTGTTAATATCAGGCACACGAACCCTATTGTTGCCAAACTGATGAAGTATATATGAGTGATCAACATGTAACTTAGACTGTTGGATGGTTGATTATCAAGACTGGCCCCACAACTGGTTCCCGGCTCGTCGCGTTTGTATCTTCATATGAAAACAACAACAATATGTGTTATAATACCGTGCAAAAAAATCAAATAACAACATAATGCCGGTATTACTTTTTTACGAGAACGACAACTTAAAAACATAGTTATTTGTTTTCTGTCTTACTGTTAAACGCGTTCTTTCAACATAAATTTATTACATTCTTTTCTCGACCATAATCAATGAGGAAAAAGAGTTATGGCCAGATTCAAAACAAAGATTCAGGGATAATCAACTTTACTTTCTGTGTTTAAAGTAATATTTACGAATATTAAAATGTAACTTTGCGTGTTTAAGCAAGAGTTTGGATTACTCAAATGGTATTTTGTGTGTCTAAGCAAGATTCAGGGAAACTCAAATATTACTTTATGTGTTTAAGCAAGATTCGGGAATACTCAAATGTTACTTTATGTGTTTAAACAATATTCAGAGAAACTCAAATGTTACTTTATGTGTTTAAGCAAGATTTGGGGATACTCAAATGTTATTTTGTGTGTTTAAACAATATTCAGAGATACTCAAATGTTACTTTGTGTGTTTAAGTAAGCAAGATTCAAATGTATTTGTGTATCCAAGTAAGATACACGGATACTCAAATGTTACTACGCGTGTCTTTAATTTGATATCATATACACTTTTGAAATTGAACATGAGAAAACTTGAGAAAAAGGAATCAATCAAATCCATATCAGCAACGAGAATAGTTCAGTTGAAAAAAATGTTGTTGTTTTTTTTTTACTCACGCGTTCCAGCCGAGTAAGGGAGCTAATGAGAGTATAAGAGCATTAACCCAGACGATAATCGACACGAAAACAGACACTGTATTTGATGATGGTTGCCCTGAAGTAAATAAAAAACAAACAAATTGAAATAACTCATTAAAACAGCTAAAGTCATCGTATCAGCTTTATTTTCTTTTTAAAAGCAAAATCTAAGAAACAGCATGAAAGAATGTATATATAGTTATTTTCGTGCTCAAAAGCAGTTATTTCAGCCAGACCACATGATCAAATACATCAATTAGAAGACATGCAGCTTTGACTGAGATGACAGACTTTAATTAATTAAAGTTTTGAGTTCACGAACGACTTTTCGTTCAGATTTTATCAGAGCGAAACTTAGCCATGTACACATTGAGATATGTACGTTGTTCTAGAACAAACGGTATGTTGAATTCCGAAATAAAAATCAAAAGAAATAGTTTTTAGTCTCGCCTCTTGAGATAAATTACTGGTCTTAGAAGTACCCTTGCTTACAACAACTTATTATGGCAGGATATGTAAAAGGCTGCTGTACTGACCTTTGTTACTATTGTTGTTGAATATAGCAAGGTAAGTTTCCATGCAGACAATACATGTTAATGCTACGCCCAGAAACCCGCCAACAAATACTTGAAACCCGTACCACTGACACAGAGTGTCTCCGAACAACCATCTGTATAATCATCAAAAAAGAGAGAAAGCATTTACGTGTTAATACAGTGTATTTATGTCACATTTACAGAAATATTATAAAATTGATCGAGTTTAGAACTTCCGAAGTACAAATTTCGTTACATTTTATAGCACAGGGCCCTGATACAGACAACAACAGTTGAGAAATGAAGACAAGTTGTCGTATGACTCGAAAGAAGGAGAAAATGGCAGAAATTCTTTCATAAGAATCATCTGGCAAAGAGATTGCTAAGGACTTGCCTTTTCTATCCTCTTTTGATCGTAAAGATGTGTAATCTACTTACATGCTTACATTATTTTCAGACATTTATTAGGCAGATCCGATTGGAAGTCTATTTCATTTGCAACATAAAAAAACTTATTTAAAATCATAGTGATATCTAATTAACCTTTTCAACCCAGATATTTATAACAAATATTAACGCTATATGTAAATGGAAAGGGGTTTTATAATAATAGGCTAGCAGCGGTAGTATGTTGTAAATACGGTTACACAGAGGTGGCATGTGTATGTGCGTGTTTTTGTTCATCTCGTGCGCACGAGATACTATGTCGTGCGCACGAGCTACTAAGTCGTGCACACGATATAATTAAGTGGTGCGCACTAGATACTATGTCGTGGCCACGAGTTACTAAGTCGTGCGCACGAGATAATTAACTGGTGCACACGAGATACTATGTCGTGCGAACAAGTTACTAAGTAGTGCGCACGACATAATTAAGTCGTGCGCACGAGTTAATATTTCCTGCGCTAGATATAATTTAGTGGTGCGCACGAGACACTGTGTTGTGACCACGAGATAAATAAAAAAGCGCAAATGTCACCTCTGTGTCACCGTATGTATGCGATTATCATACTTGTGCTGTACAAGTAATTTTCAAATATTTAAATATATTAATATTTCAAAGCAGGGGAAACAACTTCAAGTCAAGGAGTACTTACCTCCCCTTTAAAGCGGAAGGTGCTGACATGAACGTTGATGTGAGGGTAATAATGTTAGCTATAGCAAGCTGTATATGAAACAGAGAATTTCTTCTCTCCTTCCAAAACGTGATTAATGTTAATACATTCCCGAGTATACCAAAAACACCTGTGAAATATAAAACCCTGTCTATAACGTCCAATATTAAAAAATATAAAATTATGCAAAGTATAAGTTAAAGTATACTTGTAAAAATATAGAACTCTACTGTCAGCCCTGTCTATACAACTTTCAACATTTGAAATATATAAAATAAGGCATATGTATAGTTATAGCACATCTCTAAAATATGAATGTGTACAGTAAACCCTGTCTAACAACGACCAACATTAATATACATGTATATATAAAATTATGCAAAATTTGTTAAGTTATATTACATCCATAAGATATAAAAATGTACAGTCAACGCTGTCAACAACAACCAATATTAAATTAGATCAAATTATGCAAATATTTGTTAAGTTATGCTACACCTGTAATATAAAAAATATAAACATGTACTGTAACCCTGTCTACAACGTCCAACATTAAAAAGGTGAACTCAAAATATGTAAGTTTGTGTTAAGATTTAAGCAGTCTAACAGTGTTACAAAGGGTCGAACGAACTAGTACTGATTGAACACGTTTGTTAATTAGTATCATTTTTTTACGTTTACTCCACAGGTTCTAGTCGCATTGATTTGATCACGGCTTTAAAGTCGTGATTTGAGCGAAAATATGTATAATCTTTTTAATTATGCAATATTGTATCCATACATTAAAAATATATTAATTAAAAGAATGTTATACTGTCAGAAAATCAAGTTTACATGTTTTTAATTATTTTGTAATGTTTTTTTTTTAATATATGGATATTATATTGCATACTTTAGGTCAAACCAATGCGACTCCTTTGGTTCACTCTAGTATATTTTATTACAAATATCAGTCATTGAAACAACTTTTAATTTAAAGATATCATGGCTATATTTTTATCTGATTTATAGAGAAACTGTTATACATAACAGAATAGTGAGAATAACACAGTGTTTACAAAAGTAGATAAGTTTGTTCAATATGTTAAAAGACGCGCCATTCAGTCAACAATTCTTTTTATAAATCTGACTACTAAAATTTCAGGCAAGTTGCGAAAGGATCACTGTGTTTTTGTAATAAAATTGAACCTTTTTTTGATAATGATCACACAAAAACCATTCTTAACGAATAAAAGACATTATTTATATCTCAAAAGCTTTTTAATTTTAGTGTTCTTTTATAGTATCGAAAAGGTAACTCTATAGTATCGAAAAGATAACTCTATAGTATCGAAAAGGTAACTCTATAGTATCGAAAAGGTAACTCTATAGTATCGAAAAGGTAACTCTATAGTATCGAAAAGGTAACTCTATAGTATCGAAAAGGTACAGTATCGAAAGACTCATAGGCCAATTTCCGGAACCATCTTTTTCATATGTTGCTTTTTGTATTTATAGTACATTGTTATTTTGTATGGAAGTCAAAATACTACTTTTTAAACTTTTTTTTTACTTGAATGACAAAATATTTCACATTTATCCCTACTTTATTCAGGTTACAAGCATCTAACATTTCTCTTAAACCATCATTTAGAAATTATAAAAAGTTCGCCCTTTTTAAAGAAGAAAAAGTTTATTTATTTCTGAGGCGTAATGTGCCTAAGATATAACGTAAGAATATTAATGTATGTCACTATGAAAAGAAATGAATTCAGTGATGAAATACGAAATTCGCTTACTGTATTAATAATTTTGAATTCCATGTTTGGATGATTCGAGTTCAAAATAAGCATATTTTTCATTTAATTTTAAACAACTCACTTATAATTCCGTCTGAAAATCCTATAATTTGATTCCCGAGGCCGTATTTCACAACGCGTTCTTCCATTCTAAATGCTAAGAGTACGGAATCAGGGTCAAGATTTTATATTAACCGGGTATGCAAACGTTATCAACATTTAAGACTGAGGGGGTACATATGAGGCAGTTGCTCCCCTTGCTGTCTAAGACAAACGGTTGAAATGGTTGGAAGGTACGGAATGCCGTTAGGGCCATCGCCTATGAATGGTTTGATCTGAAACGCGATACTCGACAGTGCGATGATGAAAACGCGAAATCACGAAACTACGATGGTGAAAACGCGACAGTGCGATGGTGAAAACACGATAGTTAATCGCGTTTTCATCATCGTAGTATCGTACTGTCGCGTTTTCATCATCGTACTATCGCGTTTTCACCATCGTAGTTTCGTGATTTCGAGTTTTCACCATCGTACTATCGACTATCGCGTTTTAGATCAACACATTCATAGGCGATGGCCCTAACGGCATTCTGTAGGAAGGAACTTGAAACTTGCATGAAAAAACTTAACACAAATGTATCTGTGACGCCAGGTCGAGTACATTTAATAGTTTTCCCAATTCTTCCAATAGTGGAGCTATAATATTACAGCACAAAAAAATGAAGGCGGACGCCAACCTGATCTTCCGTTTCAGCTACCCGGTACACTGACAAAAACAGTTTATCCGTGAGTTTTTTAGATGCCAGACATATATTGGATTTGTGTTGAAAATGTATTTAATAGATTTAATTGTGTTACACTGCTTTCACTAAATTTATTTGCCAAGAAAGATCCTTATTCATGAACATTTTATACCAGTCTAAACAAGTAATAATAACTTTAAAATTTGATGCACAAGTATAAACCGTATGTTTGAGTCTGAAACATACATTAAAGATTTTAAAGTACGTACCGACGCTTGTGTACAATACTGCAAACATGAACTGATTTTCAAAAGTTTTCGTGTCCATTGTTCTGAAAAAATAAAATAAAAACCATATAAAATGAAACTGCAAAATAATTCTAACATTTAATTATCTTGAATTTCGCACTGGTACAGATGACATTATTTTGAAATTCTCCTATAAGGTAAGACATAAATATGACAGATAGTCTTTATAGCATGAAATAAAAAGGTTTGTCTCACTGTCTGAAAACCTTTGTCTCACTGTCTGAAATGTTATAACATAAAACGATAAACTATGGTGGCTAATCAACGCCATGTCGTACCTCTAAATGTCCGACTGTCGTATCTTCGTGCTTTCGTATGCAAAAGGTGAAAACACGACAAAATAAGGCAAAAATAGCGCACACAAAATGAAAAGACATGACACTTTTAATAAATTATAAATAAATCCCCCACTCCTTAATTAATTTACGTAAGACATACGTGAGAGTGTTTTAAGAATATGAACAGAATAGAACAGAGTTTATTTCTAAATATTGTACACTAAAGAAAGAGCATCGTTATAACAAACAACTTAAAAGCAGCATGCCTCCAGATTCATACTAATTTTCACAAAATTTTTGAAAATCTATTAAAAAGTTGAATATTATAAATTCATATAGATTACCAAAAAAGAGGTCAAAATAAGCCAGAAAATCCTTACTGCGCTAGTAAATCAGTAGAAACTAACACAATAAAATATCGTGCAAAATACTGTAAAATCGGTCATAAATCACACATAACGTTGAAATTATTACTTCTATCTTGATTCTTTTTACTTTTCTTAAGATCTTAGTACTTTTTCTCAATATTTTTATTTATCTGGAGGCATGCAGCTTTAAACAGACAAATGTATAAAAAAAACAGAAATAGCTTACCCCTTCCGAGAAGTTCCACACTTAAACAATGTCCAGATATGTTTTTATGTCGTCTTTTTATAACGCCATTTACATCACTATTGATTAAAAATACAAATGTACAATTTTTTCGATTGGTTACCATAGAGATGGCTGTCACAAAGCAGATCAAAAATGGTAAATCGAAACAATAACTGTACCCGCTAAACAGATGGATATCAATACAGGGCGTGTCACAAACTGCACGCGACTACCAACGAGTAATTCCACTATAATTAAATCAAAGACTCAATCTGAAAACCAGTATACTTTAAGTAATTAAATAATTGCATGAAGTACTCGGATGCTGAAAAATTCTTGATTTGTTTCCTTTATCAAACGTACAAGGCCTTTTTTTAGTTTCCGGTAGTAGACAAGATGGCAGCCCACACATTTTACTCATAGGAACTCGAGAACGGGACCGCAGATTGCGGCGTATATTTTCGATCTTGTAACGGTTTTTAAATACGTTTCTGCTACATCTAAATATCTTTTAGTATTATCCGAGTGTATGGACTCAAAAAATATATTATCAATTGAACCCAATCTGTCTCTTTTAAAATTGGTCAAATTTTACGGTATTGGGCGTAAAAACAAATATTGTAAATTTCTGTAGAAACTTGAAGCACGTTTAACACATCTTATAGTGGTAAGGTTATAAATAAATGAATCATAGAATATGGCTGAAAGCTCAAAATACACGATATCGACCACAATATGTATGAATTGCTCGACCACGAGGGCCATGCACGTAATTCACGGACTCAGATATCCGATAGGCTATCATGATAGCCAAGATGACCACTGGCGTTTCCAACGAAATAAACATTCAAAAAGAGCTGAATAAGCAGTAGAGATGTCCCCCTTGACGAATTCAATACCCTAAGCATTGATGATAAACTTTCCGACATGCATTCTGATGTTAGAAAAATGTCTGAAATTGAGGCCAAGCTTGGACCTCTTATTTACATTGCATACATTAATTGAAATTTTAAAGAACCGTAAACAAAAACTTTATTTGCGAATTTATTGTTTTCCAACATGTTTTGATACTATTTGGCGTTCCGGGCTATGGCATAAATTGCTTCAATATTTTATTAATGGTAAAGTTTTTCAAGTTATTTTCAACATGTAGAATAATATCAAGTCCTGCGTAGTACATTTAGGAGACACATCAATTCTTTACTTCAGAAATAGGGGTTCGCCAGGGGGAAAATGTCTAAGTAGAAGTATGGTTTCCGCTCATTATCTTGAAAGCTATTTATCACAAAATCTTCATATTTCTAATATTGATTGGTCATAACTATTAGATAACCCCTATTGATTTTGGGTCACTAGTTCAAAGGTCAAAGTCACAGGGCCCTTAAATGTCAGAATGGTTTCTGCTCATTATCTTGAAAACTTTTATCCCAAAGTGTTCATTTTTTCTTTTTTCCATAACTGAACACTCCCATATACCCATTTATGGCAAGTTTCTATAACAAAATAACAAATATTGTGAGTCAAGGGCTAGAAAGGGGGCATATGTGTCGTTCGACATTTCTTGTTTAAAAGTTATTATTGTCACCGGCCTTCTTTATATCATGTTTTTATTATCCAAAAATACTTTAAATTCATTTTTTCTGAAATAAAATTCGCATTGTTTAAGGTAACATATTTTGATAATATTGTAAGGAAATTCTTCTCTGTATGTCTTATCTGTATGTTTAGCTCTTGTTAATTGTTCCCCTCATGTCTTATCCATTGAACAAATATATATGTTTATATATTTTTATTTGCTATAATTTTTACACTTTATGTGTAATTGTAAAATATGTGACCTATTATTATATTTAATAATGAAATACAATAAACAATTATGATGATAATACCTGATTTTATGAATGTGGCTGCCAGGTACAATATGTTACCAGAGATATATTTAATTTTTAATGAAGTCGACATTCGTTGTTTTGTATCGATAAATATTAATGCATTGTTTTAACGTGTCAGGCTTTGCTACAATTCACGACGGGAAATTCTTTATTAAAAAATTATTTTTTCTCCCTTTCCACTACATGTGTTACTTTATTTGATGTTTTAAGAAGTAAAATCGTAGTAGTGGATATTCAGGACTTTTACTCATTGATTTTGATTTGGATAGTTTTCTGAAAAAAGGTAACCAGTATTTATCAATAAATAACGTATGTAATGAACTAGATTTATCAAAAAAATCACTTATTTGAATAAAGTATTGCCAATTGTAAATGGTAAGAAGTTTTGATATGTCATATGCAGGCTTCATAACCTCTCATCCGCTTTCAAAATTCCATTTTATTTAGTTCGGCCCATTGTTTTCTCGTTTAGGGAACACGCATTTTTTTACTTGGGGACCATATGCCGCTTTTCATGGAATGGCACTTGGGTGTCACATTGAAGGTTCCATGATAACCTCCATATGAACACATCTGCGGATGTTTCAAAATTCAAAATTGTACCAGTTCATGTTTAATGTTGAATTCTGCTTAAGCCGGTGCTAGGGGGGCGTTGGCGGTGGTTTGTACTTGACAGTACTGTCCATTAAACCGAGCCTGCAACATTTTTAATTTTGCCGTGTTGGGCTTTCTTTAGGGATTCTTATTTTATCTATTTGATTTGGCATTTGTAAAAAACAAATGCAAATGTCACGTTGTACCATAGCCTTTTTACGATAATAATAATAATAATAATAATAATAATAATAATAAGAAGAAGAAGAAGAAGAAGAAGAAGAAGAAGAAGAATAAAGACTTTATTTAACTAGAGAACTCATTTGAACAACATAACAATCTTCTATGAGGCCCTGTAAGGCCACATGTGTCACAAATCACATTCGTCACAATTGTGAAGAATGAGATCACATTCGTCACAAATTTTGTGATGCATGTGATCCAATGTTTTAGACAATCACATTCGTCACGAGTTTAAAATCACAAATGTCACAAATTTGAGATAAATATTGTTTTCTTCAATGCTTTTCACTGAGTAACAACGTCACAAATTTTTAGGACTGAAATCAATTATTGGAACTAAAACTACAGACATTTTTATCCCCTCCCCCGCTGATGAAATCGGGAGTGATGGGACTGTTTTAGCGTGTTCGTCCGCCTGTCAGTCCAGATTTAGTTTCCGCACTATCCGGCCATTGATTAGTTATTATACACTGTATATGGAATCATTTCGTTTCCACGCTATTTTTCAGCAACTTCTGGATGGATATCGATGCTGCAACTTTGTAGGAACCTTCATTCACAAACCAGTTGCACATATAACCAGCATATCTCCATTTCTTTTTAAAAACAGACTTATTGCCCCTTGTTGTTGTTGTTATTTATAAAACACTGTATATAGAACTATTGCTTTTCTGCGCTCTAGGAATTTTCAACGAAATTTAGTTTAATATAAAGAGGAGATGCGCATCTCGAAAAATCTCGACGGGACACTAAAGGATTTGGTCCGACTTGAGGGTACGGTCGCTTATATGGGCTTTCCGGCGGCGACTTTAGATAAACACATAAACAAACAAACAAGATGTGCATATCATCATCATCATCATCATCATCATCAGTATTTCCCGTTTGGCCGTTTAATACAGAGTTATGATCCATAATTTATTATCATTTATTGTTCATAGAAAAGCATTAATTCAACCCTATTCTTCAACAAATCTGCTGAATAATTTAAACAAAACTATGTGGGTACATCTAATACCAAGCGGAGATTGTGTATATTGACGGCACTTACCCGAAGTTAAGACCCCTGGTTGCTTAATATTCAGTCAGATAACTTAAGTATTTCATGTCTTCAAATGTTAAATATATCTAATTTTAATTGTGTGGGAACCTTCAATACAAAAAGGGCATGTGCATTATCGCCGTGACCTTGAGTGATATGGGCCCTGATAATTTATGCTTTAACCGACTATTTCCCCGGAGTCTTTATTCGAAATGTATCCTGCAATTGTTTAATTTTCAATCAGTATATGATGCTGTCGGCGGTAAACATTAATTCAGCGAATTTGCTTGCAAGATATTTGAATGACCTCGTGTAATTATAGCTTCGCAAGACCAATCATATTCTACAAGAAATGTTAAGTTTTCTTTAAGTTTATTTATTCAACTTCCTTCATGATTCTCATTTAACCCTTTCCTTTATAGATATTACTGGTAAAATAACTATATGAACCGCGCCATATTGAACCCTAGATGAGCCGTCAGTACTAAAGAACTCTGATATAATATAGGAATAACGCATGTTTCTTTTTTCGTGTTAAAATATCTGTAGAAACCCAAGGGATTAGTTGGTACCCGACCCAACGTATCCCGAGGGTTTCAGCAGTTGTTATGACACGGAACAATCATTCGTTAACGCTATTCTAGCATAAAGCATGCATAAATCTAACACAATCCATACACAATCAAGCAACATCACTGATTTTCCTCGGATTGCACGGGAACGTCAGCGTTGTATGTGACCGTGACGTCATTTCCGTTTTAGTTAAGCAGCGTCCGGGCCACAATGTATTGACGCTGTGCCACGGAAAACGTATATCAAAAAGGTGTTTTAACAGCGCATGAGCGCTAGATCATGTAATATCCTATATTTATTTGATGCTAACTAATGAAATACTGTTCTATCAATGAAATATATTCATATTATATCAGTCACAGTGTGGTGATATAGATTTGGGTGATATAAGCCACGCCCACTCTGCGTACGTATTTATAAGTCTGGATTCCCTAAACATGCATTAAAAATAACTGTTTAATTTCATTCTAAATGACATATTTCTCGATTCAAATGTCCGTAATTTTGTAAGATTGTTGACAATGAGACCGCAAAAAGAAATATAAATAAATAAGGATTATTTTGCTTGCAGCGTTAACGTTTGCCGTCATATTGTTTACGCGCGCGTAGTCTCCGCGCTTCAGTAGTAAACGGTCTAAAAGCACTTTTCAAAAGGCACATAAAATAAAAAGAAAAATGTGTTTGCTTTTCGTGAATATGAACTATATCTCACATCGAAGTGAGAAAATGTTCATATTTTCACTCGCGCTACGCGCTCGTGATACATATTTCATTTTTTTTCTCACTTCTCAGTGAAATATATTTCATATTCACTCAAAACAAACAAATATCCTCTATAAAATTCACTAAACACCGTCGTTTGAAACTATCTAATCATAAAAGGCGAAAAAAGCTAAGACGCGTCGAAACGATAAAGCGGCCCCGCCACAAAGACACGATCTGTTTAAACGAATTAACTATATTATTATTACTAGTGGAATAGATATGGAAAGTTCCATAGAGCGTCTGCAAGCAATTGGCACAGACTTG